TTTTGAAAATTGTCCAGGGTCAGTTCAAGACCTTTTCTTCTCTTGTTAAGTGGTAAGTTTCTTCTGATATTCACAATAGCCAGTTGAGGTGGAGTTTAACTTGCCTAAAGTAGTGTTGTGAATCAGAAAAAAAAAAAAGTTGAAAACCACTTTGGAGGGGTGGAGGGGTCCCTTTGTCCACATTTATTCTCTGCAAATAGCTGCTAACAAATCTTCCTCTGGTTTTTTTGTTGGATTTTTCCTTAAACACTGCTGTTGGAAGGAGTTTTCTTCTGTAAATTGTGTTGGTCGCCTCCTTTGCTTTGGCAGTTACTACTGATTTTATGTAATTCAGGCTAAATTCAGCTGAAAATTCATGGCACTTATTTGAAAGGAAAGAAGAAAGGTCTAAATATCTGGCTTTGTAGATGAAAAACCTACAAGATTTGCTAACTTTCCCCCACAAGTAAAAAATCAAGTGCTTTTTTTTTTTTTTCTCTTACTATGAAACTTTCCTAAGAGTCATGCTCGTATTTTATATGATCTATTGTTGCATTAAATATAACAGCATTCTCGGCTAAAAAAAGAAAACAAACCTATACATTTCACAAGTAAATCTCAAATATTTATTAATAACATTACATTGTTAACATTCCCCTCTTTTGCTTAAAGATATTTTTGTCTAGTTTTTTGTGCTTACTGTTTAAACAGTATCTGAAAATAATTACTCATTTTCACCTTTGCACCTAGCAAATGGAGGTTTTAAACTTACTAAAGTGGAGTTAAGATGTCTTCGTAATGTGACTATTCAGGAATGTTCAATTTCAGATCTTAAGAAATGAACAAATAATGGGACTATTTGCAGAATTTTAATTATATTTAGATTTTTTTCTGAATCCAAATTTTGAATCAAAAAGGCTAAAAGTTTTGTAGCACTTGCAGTGTGAGATGCAAAAGTGGCAGACAAAAAGAATCATAATTCATACATTTGTTTTATGTTATTCGGTCTTTTGTTGTAAGGACAAGGAGTTATGTAAGCGTACTTTCACCGCAAAATCATGCATTCAGCAAAATGAGGACAAGAGAACAGTTCTAATGCAACATTTATTATTTGTTATTTATTAGATTGGTGTTTTTGATAGTCACATACTGACATTTACGTTGTTATATCTTTTGGATGCTGCTATATGCTATCACTTGGTATGTTACAGCACTGATGCAGCTTTGAACCTTGCCATGATGAATAATCCTATGCACACCAGTTTTATCCTGATGTATAAATTAACATTTTAGATGTTACATAAAATTTCTTGGACAGTAATGACAGGCTTCCTGTTCTATGCTGTCCTCCATCTGCTTTGCTTTTCACTTCTTTACCTTTATGTCTGATTCTCTGTGTCATCATCTATAATGTCACATTCCATTTTGCTGTCGCATACTGTATCTTTGCTTTCTTGTTGCTTTGTGTCATGCCTCTCGTATTTGGTGAAGAAAACTTCTCCAGTTGGGCTTTCCGTGATCTTTGCATCCTAGATCTTAGCTGTCCTTGCTGTAGGAAGAAGATCCAACTCCTCCTCTGTTGGAAGAAGGAGCAGATAGGAAAGAGACTGTTAATAATATACTAAATATACTAAATGTTGCATAAAACACACAGACGACATGTTCCATGTCTTGCTCTGTGGAAGTCAAGCTCCTGAAGGAAGGAAGATTAAGTCATAGGAAATGACAGGAATTTGATTCAGTAAATGGCTTTTCACACCTTTTGAGTGAGGGTTGGGAGTGTCAAGACAAGCTGATGCCTCA